GAGGGCGCACGCACACACACACGTCTGAAGCTGTGAAAACCAATGTGAGCACGACCAGGCACGTGAGAGGTACTCGATCTTTTTCTTCTACGGCCATAGGTGAATGGAAGAAGGGGTGAGCGCACGGAAACGTCGGACGCGTGTGAGAGCGTAAAGCCATTAGTTGCTCAGCGGCCATACGCAGAGGCTGCGGCGGACGGCAGTGAAAAGGGCGTGCTGAGTCACACTAAACCAAACGGACAAACAAGGTGAAATACGACCAAGGTTAACAGCCCTGAGGTCCTTTTCGAGTGGCGAATGAAGAGTAGGCAGGCGAGAAAATGATTTCAGCAGTCTGTTTCGAAGTAGCAGCGGCAAACTACAAACGGAAGTCGCTAAAAAACTGACAAAATCAAATAAGAAGGGGGAAAAAGATGTGCTCATGACGAGGACGGGCGTTAAACAATTATATTGGGAGGAATCTAGTTTTCATTTAAGCAGGCAGGCATTCAAGGGGTATAATCCCGTCCTGCAATCAGAAGTGAATCACTGAACAACGGCCCTGCGTGACTACCTCCGAGTACATGACACAAATGAAAGAAACATCAGTGAGGCGTTTACTTGTTCCTGCTACCGGCTGTGTGAACAAGGCTCACAAATGGAGGTAACAGGTACAATGGCCAGACGACAGAGACAACGGTGTTTGCAATAGCAAATTCCGACGTGCTTATCATTCCCAATTCGACATATTCCAAACTCAAACCGGAAAATCCAGATCCTGTTATTACTGAGCTCCCTTATTTCATCTTAAAGACAGATGATATCAATAAGCAGTACCCCCACGTGACGTTCTTTAAACATTCGCAGGAAAAGGTGGACAAGGGAATGTATGTTAATTTGACAAACGACAGACTACTGGTATTAAAATTGTGTTTTTAGCATATCTCTAAAACTCATATAACCCAAATAGGAAAAATTCGGCGGCCTTGATGGGGTTCAGACAACTAATGTTTCCACCACTTGAGGTCCAAAGCTCCGACTAGGAACCCAGCAATGTTTAAACAGTAAGCTGGTTGCGCAAACGGGGTTATATAAACTCTTAATGCAGAATCAACCAGACCACCACTGGGCGCGCTTAATTGATAAATGTTTTCGATCAGACGATTACTAAAATAGACAAACTACATATGCGTCTGGGTGACTGCCTTGCAGAAGTCAACGGATCTTTCGAGAGCTGCCGGAAAGCGTGACCCAAAGGGGTTCTTGCAACATCAATTGTACAATAGATGACATAAAACTTGGTCTTCAGATAGAAAAAAATGAGGCTATGATCTGCTACAAAAATATCCCTATTTCGTCAAACCCGCACATGCAACTTTGATACAACGACCCTCGCCTATTGATTGCAGTAAAAGTGTGTGAACAGCGCATTAGAATTTTGGCAGTGTGGTTCAGTTCAGCCTAGACGAAAACCGCATTTATAGGGGTTTTTCGTGTGCTTCTAGTTAACCACTGTGATGGTTATGAAAGGGCGTATTCCGTTGGACAAAGCGATAAGGACGGAGAGACGGCCATCAAGCCATCTACCTCCATATCCCGCGCAACTGTTCCGAATGAGTGCACTCAAATCAGGCTATGGAATCTGCGTTTGTCGCTATCGCTGGGTGACGCTGTTATCAGACATACATGGAGGGCAAAAGCTAGTGCAGCATGGGGATAAGAACTAGCCCTACGGAGGGGCGTGGACGAGGGTTTTATAGCACTGTCAGTCACTGTGTCCAAACGTATATCCAGTCGTCCTGAATTAGTCCTGTCCTCCGTAGAGGATGGGCCTGGGACAAAGAGAACTGGAAGTTCTGCTAGTACCCTTGCTATAGCTCTAGGTAGGCACTGGTCAAGACGGCATCGTAAGCACAGTGGCCCTCCTCATCGACAGTTTATTCTGACAAAAGGAAACCGATGAAGGCAGATGGTTGGCTATTTTATTTTTTGGCTGTCAGGCGAGAAGCAAGCATAATTGCGCCTTGGTGCTGGAGGAGGGGAACTGAGGATGAAGCCACAAAAGAGACCGACAGCAAACTGGCTTCTTACAGACCGCGTGGACAGAAAAAAAAGGGCGTGAATGCCATTGGCTAGTCACTGGCAGCTTTGAATCTTCAGGTTTAAGAAGTGAAATCGTGGGATGAGTCAAAGACAGACTCCCTATGGTTATACAGAAAGGGAGACAGCACATCTTTCTAGGAAAGCAATATAGGTCAAAATAAGTACTTTACGGGAAGAATAGGCTTAAACATGGTGACATAATGAGACGAGTCGAGCACCGGAGCAAATAATTTATTGTCCTGAGCTTTCGGCTCCACACGAGAAGCCATCGTCAGAGAGAATGAGAAAACAGCAAGCGTTCGCTACGCGTGAATGGGGTTAGTAGGGGTGAGGGGGAGAGGGTGGCACTTGTGATTGGTCATAGTGTGGAAAGAAAAGCAACGAAAATGAATTAAGGGGTACATTACCAACAGACACTAGAGGGGAGGCTGGAAGTGTCACTTCTGGATTGATGGTCATCATCAGTCAGCCCTACCCAACCTGAGAAAGCGCATCACCCGGGACTCGAATCCGCACTTCTTCGATGATCAGTCAAATGCTCGAAAGATTGAGTCACAAGCTAACTGTCCTGTTGGTTGCGTTTGGGTACATGAATTGTGGTGGAGTTTGCTCAACCATCGCGTAACCCGATCGGTGAGCGCACTCTACCCAAAAACTAAGAAAATTCATATGGCGAAGTTGAGGTATAGAGGCGAAAAAGAGTGGAGAGCGAGAGAGAGGTTTCCGTTCCTGGATGATACTTGCCAATGCGGACATGGCCAGAAGCTCTTATGGACATGCCCAATCGCATACGCTCTGACTCTCTTAGTG